GACATGTCGAGTGGTTGCCACCCACACGACCCAACCAGGGCCGGGGACAAACTGCAACTGAGGTACATGCCCTTAGCGGGAACGAACCCGGGTCTCTCAGGACCGCAGGCCGACGCTCTAACCGCTGAGCCAAACCGGCCAGGGCTACCACAGCTTTTTGATCCATTCGTCTACTGATGGACACTTGGGCTGTTTCCAGATCTTAGCGATTGTAAATAGTGCTGCTACAAAGATGGGGGTACATATATTCTTTCTGATTGGTGAAAAAACGGAACTTATATAAAAATAAAAGTTGAGAGGCAAATGTGATAACCACTACACTATGAAACCCGCCCCATAATTATATTGAGGATCATTCCATTGATCTTCCTAGAAAAAGGATCTCTACTTTCACTGATAAGAACATGAATGAGGTTAAGAAATCTCCAAAACAGTTAGCTGCTTACATAAATAGAACAGCTGGACAAGTTGTGGAAAGCCCAGATAAACTACGTAAGGTGATCTACCACAGAAAGAAAGTTCATTATCCTTTTCCAAATTCTTGTTATAAAAAGAAACCACTGGCTGGTTTGGCTCAGCAGTTAGAGCATCGGCCTGTGGTCCAGAGAGACCCGGGTTTGGTTCCTGCTAAGGACATGTACCTCGGTTGCAGTTTGTCCCCGGCCCTGGTTGGTCGTGCGGGTGGCAGCCACTCGATGTGTCCCTTTCACGTCGATGTTTCTCTCTCTCTCTCTGTTCCTCTCTCTCCCTCCCACTCTATCTGAACAAAAAAATGGAAAAAAATGTCCTCAGGTGAGGACAAAAAAATAATAATAAAATAAATAAATAAAAAGAAACAGTCCCCTAGAAGTGGGGGCTGTGAGAGGGCAAATAAAGAATATGAACTGGCTTGTGCAGGCCACCTGCCTGAGCAGTTACACCGTGACAGTCCAGCATATTTGCTTAACTCCAGTGATTCGTTTCTTCACAGACAAAGCGAATCATCAAAATACAGTGGGGTTTGTTTGTTTGTTTTTTTTAATCCTCACCCGAGGACGTTTTTCCATTTTTTTGTTCAGATAGAGAGGAAGAGAGAGAGAGAGAGAAACATCGATGTGAAGGGACACATCGAGTGGCTGCCACCCGCACGACCAACCAGGGCCGGGGACAAAATGCAACCGAGGTACGTGCCCTTAACGGGAACTGAACCTGGGTCTCTCTTTACCGCAGGCCGACACTCCAACCGCTGAGCCAAACCGGCCAGGGCTACAGTGGGGTTTTTATTGAGGTGTCTCAGGGTCATGAAACAATGGCATAGGTTTTGTTCAGCAGGAATTTGAGATTGAATGTAGCTTTAACTTTCTGGAAAAAAAGAAGTATACGTGAACTCGTAGCTTATTTGGTGAGGACAGAAGACCTTGGAGTGGTGGTAGATCATCCTCCTGTGCTTACCAACAGTTGACAGGAAGAAAAACAACACACCTCACCCAGCTGGTGTGTAGGCTTCTTGCCTCTTATAAAGTCACTACTCATAAGCAAATTTGAAGAATATCTAATAGTTGGTTTAAACTGGCTTCAAGTAGTCATAAAAAGGTGGTGGTCCAAACTATCATCCCAAACAGAAATTATAAATGATGGAAATATTCAGATTTTAAAACAATTAAGTGGACTGTGGAAACAAGAAAACCATCTTACTTTGGTTCCAGTAATATAGCTAAGGATGTAGATACTTATTTATTACAATTGCTTTGAAAGACTTCATCTACTAAAGAGCATTTGGTAATTCAAAACATCCCTGGACTATATGATTCACAACTATATGACATTCTGGGAAAGACAAAACTATGGAAACAGTAATAGAAATAATCAGGGATGGGGGATGGGGGAGGGATAAATAAATGGAGCACAGAGAATTTGTAGGCCAGTGAAAATACTCTGTATGATACCATAATGATGGATAAATGTCATTATACATTTGTCCAAACCCATAGAATATACACACCAAGAGTAAATCCTAATGTAAACTATAGAGTTTGAGTAATCACGCTGTGTGAATGTTGGTTCATCAACTGTAACAAATGTACCACTCTGGGAGAGGGCAGGGATGTGGATAATGAGGGAGGCTACTCATGTGCAGGTGGTATATGGAAAATCTGTGTACTTTTCCCTCAATTGTGCTGTGAACCTAATAGTGCTCTAAAAATAGACTTAATTTAAAAATAGTAAATTCCTCGCATTAAAATTGAATCTCAATACTTATAGGATAAGTTATGAACTCGCTTGCAAGGTATACAAATGTCTTTATGATCTCATTGCTGTATACCTTCCCATGCTCATTTTCAGTATTTCCCCTCTGAGGCAGCATGGGGAGTTGGGCTGGGAATGGAGAATACCAGGGCCAGAAAGCTAAGCCAAGATAGTCAGTCAGAAAAGCCTTGGGATGAGCTGCCTGCGAAGATGACAGCACTCCTCCACTGCCCACTCAGGAACACTGAGGTAGCTGATTTTCTCTCCCTTCTAACCGCCGGCTTAAACTACTGACCTGCATACACAGCTGACCAAGGTTTGGCTGCTATACGACCTCCCTAGGGTGGAAATGAGTAGTCGGCCATCTTGTCCCCACAGGGCAGGCACGGACACAGTTACCAGGAACATAGTTGGAAAAGGAAGACACCCAACCCTAAAATGGAAAGTTCCCAAAGCCTGCCTTTTTCAAAAAGCCCACCTTTTCACACAGCCTGCTTTGGCCCAGCTTATAAAAGCAGCCAAGCAGAGCCAGCTGCCCCCCACCCTGTCTGTTCAGAGGACCTTCCTTTCCTCTGTGCTGCCTCTCTTGTCCTCCAGCATAAGCTTAATAAAATCTGTCTGGCAATTTCTCTGGGGTTTCCTTTTGATTTCTAGCTTGGGGAACCTAAGAACTCCAATGCTGGTAATAACTCCACCCAACTTCACCTTTGACATACGAACCACAAATTCTCACTCCTCCAAACTCCATTTGGGGTCCCTTGGCTTGGCAAATTATTCCATGAAGTGACTGCTGTCTGTCCTGCAAGCTGTACCTGGGTCAGAACAAAGGTCACTTTCTGTAAACCCCCCTTAGAGACGCCCTGATGGTAACTCACGTTCATTCTAACGTAATAAGCACCCCTCCTGCCTCCTGCTATGTGCTGGTTCCTGCAACAGGCTGTTGTCCTGACCTGGTCAAGCATGTGAAGTAATTGCCACACCTGCTGCATTCATGTACCTGTACCCGTGCCTATCCACCCCTTTCCCTTACATCATTCTCGGGCCCCTGCAAGTGGCGAGGGGATCCATTTTGTACTGTAGTCACCCAAGACACACCTCGGATGTGAGTTTCCCTTAATAAATTTGATTAGTGACCAGACTGGAGTGACTAGCCTCTTTCTTCAGTCTTTCCCTGCTCTCCACTTCCAGAGGTTCATTTTCAGTCTCAGAATTTTTCTTTCTTTCTTTTTTTTTTTTTTTTTATCCTCACCCGAGGACATTTTTCCATTTTTTGTTCAGATAGAGCGGGAGGGAGAGAGAGGAAGAGAGAGAGAGAGAAACGTCGACGTGAAAGGGACACATCGAGTGGCTGCCACCCGCACGACCAACCGGGGACAAACTGCAACCGAGGTACGTGCCCTTAGCGGGAACCGAACCCGGATCTCTCTGGACCGCAGGCCAACGCTCTAACTGCTGAGCCAAACCGGCCAGGGCAATACCTGCTTTTTCTTCATGTCTCAGTGCAAATGCAACCTATCCTGTGAATCCTTCCCTCACTTCCCCATTTAGAGCCTGCCCCTCAGCCTTCAGTCTTGGTGGCATGTCTGCTTGTATTTTGTACTTGACTCTACCATCTAATTGTATCTTAACTGTTTAAATGCCTAATTTTGTCCCCATTAGAAAGTAAGGATTACGTCTTTTCTTTTTGCATATCTAGTGTCAAGCAGACAACTTCATCCACAGTAAAGAAAACATCAAAAATGAAAAAGAAAAAGAGTATGGCTATGAATGACCTCATAAGAATACTGTGGGAATTAAGGATTTACAAAGAAAGTATTTCTGGGGAAAATCTGAAGCAACCTTTTAGCAGAATTACTGGTAAGTCAGAAACTTCAGTGAGTACATGCAGAATGCAATTATAATTTTATAAGAGGGGAAAAAAAACAACAACCCTATACTTAACAAAAGATTAAAGGAAAACACCAAAATGTTAAAAGTGATGTGGTTAGGATGGTGAGAAGCTACGGATCATTTTTTCCCCTTTTTCTCTGTTTTCAAAAATGTCTTAAATGCTTAACTTAACCTATACTGTTTCTATAATGACTGTGGCCCCCTAAAAATTATTGACAACATTCTAAACTTCCACACCTACCAAATCAAAATGGTGAGAACCACTCCATACACCGAGGAAAATGATGAGAACATAGCACCCTGCCAAACGAAGGGTAGGAGAAAGAAAACATGTAGGCTGTATATACTTCTAATATATTGGCTTATATGATTATTCTTACAATATATTCCTAGCCTGTTTTGATCATCTGTTTTGAGATCCAAAAAAATAAGACTACTTACATGGAACAATAGCATTCATAGATTACCTATTACAATAGTAGGTGTTGTGGGTTATACCAGGTAAAATAAAGCATGATCTCTATCTTCAAGTAATTGACAGTTTGGTGGGAGAGGGGAAAAACTACCCAGAGGAAATGAGAACAGCATACAATTGAGTGATAAATTATGTGGTATAGACAATAATCAAACTGGCCAAATCAACATATAAATACCATTAATACCTGATAAAGGCACAGTCAGAAACAGCAGCTGTTCTATTTTTAGATTGGAAAGATGAGCTGTTAGAGCTAGCAGTTACAAATATCATCCAGAACCATAAAGCTATTTTGCAAATCATAAGGTGTTTTAGTTTGTTTTTAAGTGTGACAGAAACTGGAGCAATAAAATAAAATTTTAGACACAGCTTTTCTAAATGGTTAGAATTATCTAAGGAAAATATATACCTGAGAGTTTTGTCTTTGGGCTTCTACTGCTGGGAAGAGCTCCATCCAGAGACTGAGCAGAGTGAAGAGGTTGACTTTAGAAAGCCTTGGTATTTGACCTACAAAAGAGAGGGCAGACACTTTAAAATTTTGCTGATGAAAATAGGAACTAAGCTCAATGCCACTTGGGTGCTGCAGCTTTAGCTCAACTGCTTTAGCCGGAGGAAGAGAAAAAGGATAAGAGGACAAGAGAATCCAAGCGCTTTCTTAGCAGGAAACTGGCCACCACCTCACTTGCAGTGACTTCCTCCGCACTTTCCAAAGTTGGGGCCTCTTTCTCCAGCCCTCACACAGCTGCGGGAGGTAAGGTACTCGCTATGGGAAAACAATCCAAAGAAAGTTATGAAAAGTCCTTGCAACTGATGTCATCGTAGAGCAATCTTTTCTTTGGACTGTGGTGTTTGCAGCAAGGGCAGTGGTTACAACACGGTACTGAAAATGCGGTGACCTCTGAGGGTAAAGCAGCTGAAATATAGAAGTGTGGCGTGTGGTTAATTTCGAAATCAAGTCAAAAGCACGGCTTGGGGAATTTTCAGGCTCGTCATTCCCCGAGATTCCAGCTCTAGGTCCCGGGAGGAAAAGTAAAGGGGTTGGGGGCTGCGGTGAGGGGCGCCGTGAGCGCGCGACTTCAAAAGCAGGTGCATCCAGGCCAGGGAATTCCGCTGACCAAGACGGGACGTGCCCAGGAGGGGATGAGACGTCCAGGGGCAGAACTGCAAGCGAAGAAGAAGGCAAGGAACCTGGAGTTGAGCGGCTGCAGACACACAGGGCAGAGCAAAACGCTGCGTGGTGGGAGCGGGTCCGAGGCACTCACCGGTCATGCTGTCAGTCTGGGTGCTGACTGACCGCCCGGGCCCTGCGCTCTCCAGATTTTGCATCTGCCCTGCTTCTTTCATCCCCAGCCTAGCGGCCTGCGCAGCCCAGAACACCTCTCGCTGTTAGGCATGATCTTGGCCCCACATACTCCACCTCCCGCCTCCTCCCAGCTGCAGTACAGCAGAGCCAACTGGGCGCGGCCAGATGACGTGGAGCCCCTCGGCCACTTCCGGGCGCTTCGGCGACGTCACAGCAAGGCAGGGACTCCGCGGCGCAGGGCTGCTCCTCCAGGGCCCACCGGTGGGTAGGAAGCACTATGCAATAAGTTACTGGAGGCCGGTTTTTTTCTGTCTTAGGTATGTGGCTGTCTTCGTTTTGCCGAAGTAAGGTTGCTTGAGGATGTCTTGGCTTCAAGTCCCAGGTTGGGCAGAGAATGACTGGGTGATGAGGCCTGCCCAGACTTGAGATTTGGGGTCAGAGAGGGAATAGTAATGGAAACCTGCCCTATCTGTCATGGCCGAGGTCATAGAAAATCACTGAAGAGAAAGACATGGGAGCTGGGGGATCCAGGTAGTTGTTAACATCAGAGATTGGCTGGTGCTGGGGAGCTCAGTGCCAGGGCCATCACAGGGGTGTTCTGCTTTGTGGACCCTGAGAAAGAAGATACCTTATAAGAAGGGCTCCTGGTGGCCAACTGGGCTAAAATGTAAAAGCAGAGCCTAGCAGCCATTTCTAAACAGGGGCCTCATGCAATGGCATTTCAAGGAGATGCCTTCCCTGAACTGCCTGCCTGCACTGTGTCCTGCCATCTGAACCAGCCCTTGTAAAGGAGTTCCTAGAATTGCATTACAACCAACAGGACTGAGACTGTCCCCATCCAATCGCAGCTGTGCAGCTATATTTCCATTAGCATTTTCACTGACCAATCAAGACAGTGCTTTTTTGGGACTGTCATACTGGGAGGATTTGAAGTCCTCATTTGCAATCAGGAACCAAGGACAGGGACTTCTGTCTATGTAAGTCAGCTCACCTCTGACTCTAATAGTGCATTTTCCCTTTCCATGGAAGACTGAAGACTGGGTGTTCCAGCTGGAGCAGAAACAGCTAGTTGCCATGCTGCTTCATAATTGAACTCTTCCACAACACTGCTGTTTTACATTTGAGCTGTTTGCATTGAATAAAGTTTCCTTCCTCACCACACCTCAAATTGGGGGTTACTGTGGACTTGAATTGGCACCAATGACCATTGGTGGAGAACTTCTTATCAAACTCATGAAGACATTAAGAGATAGAACTGTGGCCCTAGCCAGTGTGGCTCAGTTGGTTTAATCAGCCCATATTCTGAAAGATGGCTGGTTTGATTATTCATCAGGGTACATAACCCAGGTTGTGGGTTTGATCCCCGATTGGGGTGCATACAGGAGGCAACAGATCGACGTTTCTCTCTTCCTCTCTCTAAAATCATTTAAAAACATATCCTTGGGTGAGGAAAAAATAAAAAGAGATATGGAAGTGTAATTATGACATGGGTGAGTGTAGGAGGAGGTAGCACAAGTGGCCCCTGGAAAATCTGAGAAATACCTGACGTTGCAGATTTCTGCCCAGTGCATTTTATTTTATAAGTGTCCCAGGCATGACTCAAAATGAAGACCCTCCCTTCTCATGATTCAGCCTAGTTTCCATCACCAACTCATTCTGTTATCACAACTTGAAATATTGACAAATAACTGCTTTGGGAAAGCAAAAGCTAAATGTTATTAAAGTGCATCATTTGTAAAGGACTGAAGTGAAAATCTTTAGTGTTGAAGGTTATGGCTGTGGTTCATTCATTTTTACTATTGTATAGTACTACAATTTATTTAGCCATATTTGAGCCAAGAGAAAATTGGACCATCTCCAGCTCTTTGCTATTGCAAACAATGCTGCTATAAACATTTTTGTATATGTTTCCTCATGTTCTTATAAAAAACTTTCTTTAGAGACTATACTTAGGAGTAGAATTTTTGTATTGTTACTGTCTATTTACCAAAAAATGCTGAAAAGTTTTTCAAATAGATTAGACCAATTTACATAGCCCTATATCACCACTAATTCCTGGTATTGTCAAGCTTTTAATGTTTGCCAGTCTGGTTGGTATAAAAGAGTATCTTGTGGTTTTTATTTTCCCTGATTTTTATTTATTTTATTTATTTTTTATCCTCACCCAAGGACATTTTTCCATTTTTTTGTTCAAATAGATTAAGAGGGAGAGAGAGGAAGAGAGAGAGAGAAACATCAACATGAAAGGGACACATCGAGTGGCTGCCACCCACACAACCCATCCAGGGCCGCGGACAAACTGCAACCGAGGTACGTGCCCTTAGCGGGAACCGAACCCAGGTCTCTCTGGACCGCAGGCCAACGCTCTAACCGCTGAGCAAAACCGGCCAGGGCTATTTTCCCTGATTTTTAAAAATTAAACTTTTGGGGTGACATTGCTTAATAAAATTATACAGGTTTCAAGTGTACAATTAAATAATATAACATCTGTATATTGCATTGTGTGTTTACCACCCACCTGATTTTTACTTTGGTTGAACATCTTGTCATATGTTGGTTGGCCATACATGTGTCTTCTTTATAAAATGCCCATTAATCACTTTTCTATGTGATTGTTTCTTATTTCTTATTCATTTTTAAGCATTCTTTATAAAATCTGGATATTCACTCTCAGTTGAGTGTGTATATGATACATATCTTTACCCCATTTGCCATTTGCTTTTTCAGTTACTTTATATGTCTTTCAGTGCACAATTCTTTATTTTAATGTGCCAAATATAGCAATAATGTTTTTTTGTTGTTAATCCTCACTGGAAGATATTTTTTCCATTGATATTTAGAGAGAGTGGAAGAGCGAGAGGGAGGGAGAGGGAGGGAAAAGAGCATCGATATGAGAGACACATCGATTGGTTGCCTCCTGCACCAGAATCAAACCTGCAACCCAGGTACATGCTCTTGATCAGAATCAAACCCATGACCCTTTTGTCCATGGGCCAACACTCTAACCACTGAGCAAAACTGGCCAGGGCATAATCATATTCTTTTTTTTTTTTTTAATTTTTTTTTTATCCTCGCCCAAGGACATTTTTTTTTTTTTTTGCATTTATCTTCAGATAGAGTGGGAGGGAGAGAAGGAGGAAGAGAGAGAAACATCGATATGAGAGAGACACATAGAGTAGTTGCCACCCACATGACCCCAACCGGGGCCGGGGACAAGCTGCAACCAAGGCACTGCCCTTAGTGGGAACCAAACCCGGGCCTATTTGGTCTGCGGGCCGACGCTCCAACCGCTGAGCCAAACCGGCCAGGTCTCTGTATCTTTTAAAAAAGTCTTTCCTACCAAAGGTTACAAAGATATTCTGTTATATGTCCTTTCACATTTATATCCTTTGCATGTAGAATTCATTTTTGTGTATGGTATGATGTAGGGATCCAATGTTATTTTTCATTTGGATAATCAATTGTCCCAGTGCTATTTCTTCATTGATCTTCAGTGTCACCTGTCATAAATCAAATTACCATATACACATAAGTCTGTTTCTGGGCTTTACACATTATTAGTTTATTATACATTATTACACATTATTAGTTTATTATACCCCCTCAAAAAAAACACCTTTATTTTCTTCAGAAAAAATTTTGGATATTTTTGGTGCTTTAATATTCTATGTAAGTTTTAAAATCATATTGTCACCTTCTTTAAAAAATTCCAATGGAAACAACAATGAGGTATCACCTCACATCTGTCAGAATGGCCGCCATCAACAAGTCATCAAAAAAGTGTTGGCGAGGGTGTGGAGAAAAGGGGACTCTAGTACACTGCTGGTGGGAATGCAGACTGGTGCAGCCGCTATGGAAAACAATATGGTGCTACCTCAAAAAATTAAAAATTGAACTTCCATTTGACCCAGTGATCCCACTGCTGGGAATATACCCTAAGAAGCCTGAAACACCAATCAGGAAGAATATATGTACCCCCATGTTCATAGCAGCACTATTTACAATAGCTAAGATCTGGAAACAGCCCAAGTGTCCACCAGTAGACGAATGGATCAAAAAGCTGTGGTACATATACACAATGGAGTACTATGCAGCGGTAAGAAAGAAAGATCTCTTATCCTTTGAGACGACATGGACGGACCTGGAAAGTATTATCCTAAGTGAAAGAAGCCAAGCAGAAAAAGACAAATACCACATGATCTCACTTATATACGGAATATAATGAACATAACAGTCTGAGGAATACAGTAGACCCAGACACATGGAAGTAGGGCACAGACTGACATCCCTCAGAAGAGGGGATGGGGGGTGGGGGGGTGGGAAGATATAAACCACAGAACTTATATGCATGTATGCATGACCAATGGACATGGACAACTATGCCGGGGACAGGGTGGAGGTGGGGTGGGGTGGGGGGTGCCAATGGGGTAAAAAGGTAAAATATCTGTAACAAAACAATAAATAAAAATTCATTAAAAAAAAAAAATTCCAATGGAGCCCTGGCCGGTTTGGCTTAGCGGTTAGAGCATCAGCCTGTGGTCCGGAGAGACCCGGGTTCAGTTCCCGCTAAGGGCATGTACCTCGGTTGCAGTTTGTCCCCGGCCCTGGTTGGTTGTGCGGGTGGCTACCACTCAATGTGTCCCTTTCACATCGATGTTTCTCTCTCTCTCTGTTCCTCTCTCTCCCTCCCACTCTACCTGAACAAAAAATGGAAAAATGTCCTCAGGTGAGGATGATAAAAAAAAAAAAATTCCAATGGAGCCCTGGCTGGTGTGGCTCAGTTGGTTAAGTGTCATCCTGTGCACCAAAAGGTTGCCAGTTCGATTCCCAGTCAGGGCACATACCCAGGTTTCAGGTTCTATCCCCAGTTGGGGTATGTACAGGAGGCAACTGATCAATGTTTCTTTCTCATATAAATGTTTCTCTCTCTTTCTTCCTCTTTAAAAACATATTACAAATAATTTTTAAAAATTTCAATGGAATATTGAATTTTTGATATATAGATATCCTATCCCTGAAAATGGTATCAGTGTGAACATTGTGTATTGGGTTTTCAAAAGGCTTTCCAAAGATTTTATAATTTTTCTCCACAAAGATTTTATACATATTCTTGATTTAATCTTATTTTTGTTGCTATAGT